CAAAAATACAATCCCTACCGAGGGGTGACCGCAATTACAAAAAGTGACTTATTTACTATCGGAATTTTGACATCATCGAATTTCATATCGAGTTCGAGTCGGTACTACTTCGTTTAGCTGGTGAAAGGGGTAGGCGGGTATTTCGCAGGTTGCAGTTGTGATTTTAGTGCAGTGAAGTAGTTTCCCACTACTAGCGAGATCGGCGAGATAGAAGTTCACTTTCGAACTTAACTTATTCAAATCCAACCAGATGCTAATATCGAGCATTTATCGGCATATTATTGTAGATCAATGAAACGTACTTTGGTAGTTTAATCTATCGGAGTTTAGAAGTTCGAAACTCAACCGATGGTTATCGACCACTCAGGTTGTTCATAGTCAACCCCTTCAACTTGGGCGCTAATGAGGAATCCTCAATGCCCGGTAGTGGCACTATGGTGTTAAGTGAGGTTGTGGTACTCTGCTCTGATGTGCTGCGGGTTCATATGGTGCATAAATGACGGGAGCAGCAAGGCTTCAGTCGTATTCGCTACTAGGAATAGGAGAGCTGTGGAGCGAGACTATACCCAGTTTCCACATATCTCCCATGTTAGAGTGGTCAATAACAGATTGAGAACCTCATTTAAGCATCAGTATGCTGCTTCTCGATAACCTTTCGATTCCGATGAGCCACGGTTATTTTTTTATTTTTAATCATTGTCTTTCCTTCAGTTTAGAGGCGAAAATAATTGAGTCTCCCTAATGTGCAAGTTTATGTATGTACGAAGTGAACTGTAAAATCAATTCTCGATTGTCGCGACGGCAAGAGTATCTTGCAATTTTGCACAGTAATTCTTACAGCGGTCATTACAAGTTGTTGGAAATGTCATTTTGAACGCCACACAAGTGTTTAATAAACATATTTACAAATGCGGCATACTCGTGCACATACATTTGTATGTATGTAGTTGTGTAAAACACTTGTTTATAATTATAGTTTAATATTATTGGGCTCGGCTACTAGCTTTCTACTGTGTCATCGGATACACTCGCATAAGACGACTTATGCTTTTCTACCTATCAGTTTAAGCGAGATTGATTTTGTGAAGGTAAATATTTCTTTTTTGAAAATTTATTCATCCTCATCCGAAGCGGCTACATCAGGAACTCCTAATATAGTCGATTGTTCAGATCTGTGATTTTGTGCAATTCTCAAGTATTTTTATTAATATTCATGAACGGTATACAGTCTGCGACATGACCGAAGCCAACACCCCTTTCTTCGTGGATTTCCATTCTAGAGTCAGCGGTTCTTTAACGAAATTTATTCAGTCTTCACACGTTCGGCCGAGCTTTCTGAATAAAAATGAGTGGCGCGAATTCGCTTGTTTCACATAAGCACATACATATTTACGTACATAAATGTTTATGGGTTATTACAACCTTGCATGGCGGCTGTCGTGTATCTGACGCTTCGACAAATGTCATTTACGGCTAATTGCTTTTCAATTGTTAATGCTAATTAAAGTTGAAAGTTGTTATTGAAGTTGTTTATGTGATTGCTATAGTTAATCGCACTTACATACATACATATATAGATGTATTGTTGAAACGGCATATGTGACAATTCTTCTTACTTTAAAAAAAAAAAAAAATTTTATAAACTTAAAAAAAAATTAGTTTATGAAAATTTTAATAACGGATTAATTCTAATCTATACAAATATAAGGTTGTCAAATATCTCCCTTCCGCTTTTTTGCTCTTCATTCAATGCTTTATAAAAAGTGTTACAGTGATCGGATTTAATATGCGCCATTTTGTTCGATGATCTGTTTCCATCTAGACGGCAACTTCATAATACCTTCCTCGTAAAAGCCCCCTTATTTGCGAAGAGTTCGGACAGCCACTTTTCACAAGCCTCTTTTGAGTTCAACTTCACACCACCAAGGGCATTCGCATGGACAGGAACACGTGGTAATCACTTGACGCTTAGTCCGGGCTATATGGTGGATGCGATAAAACCTCCCATCCGAGCTCCCGTAGCTTCTGACGAGTCGTGTGTGTGGTCTGGCGTTGTCCTGGTGGAACACTACACCCTTCCTGTTGGCCAATTCTGGACGCTTCTGGTCGATCGCCTGCTTCAAGCGATCCAGTTGTTCGCAGTAGATGGTAGAATTAAACGTCTGGCCATATAGGAGCAGCTCATAGTGGATGATTCCCTTCCAATCCCACCAAACACACAGCAAAACCTTCCGTCAATCCCGGCATGACCACTGTTTGGGACGATTCTCCGGCCTTCGACCACGACCGTTTTCGCTTGGTATTGTCGTATGTGATCCATTTTTCGTCGCCAGTCACCATCCGCTTCAAGAACTGGTCGAGTTCGTTCCCTTTCAGCAGCATATCGCAACCTTATATGCACTCGTATACTAAATTCGTATGTCAAAAATTACCGATCGTTTGGGTAGAAATTTAATCAGACTGTTTCTATAATTCCAGGAAATCTTATTTATATATCAAATTCGGTTAATAGATGGGTTTCTGCGAAAGATCGTATTTACAGCTTTTTTGAAATAATACAATATGGGTAACAAACTGAAGGGATTACAGAAAGGCTAAGGCTAACTGCTGAAGAGTCTTTTGGCCGAGCTCCTCTTTACGGAAATTTTTATTATTTTTATTATTCCCAACGGTTTACTTTTCACCACGAGGAGCGAAGCACGCATGGCGTACGGAAACTTTTATTGTTGGTGTCGATATACGATAAGCAGGCGGATTTAAAAAAAATTAGCTACAGAAGAAAAATTCATCAGCTGATTTTAAAAAGTAATTTAATTCAAGTTTTTAAAAATAATTTAATTTGAAAACAATTTTTCGAGTTTTTTGTCTTTAATTTCAATCAAATCATGCCATTAAAAGCTCTTTGAACGAATTTAAAAAAGCAGGTTTTCAATTTGTAACAGTCTCGTTTTTCTTGGGACACTATTTCTATCTGCATTTAAATCATACTCATACATACACATATACGAGCACATACCTACAAGTATATGTACCAGTTTAGGCATTTAGTATTATTTACCTACAACTATCACCCTATTGTCAACTGAAGTATTTCGATGAATTTCATACGAAAAGTCATCAAGTCAGCAAGTAGACCCCCCAAAGTGATAAAACCCGAATTCAACTCGACTTCAGTACTTGAAACAGAAAATACATACTTGACGAAAAAATAACAATAATGATGTGACAATTTTGAATGGTCACTTCAGCTCTCACTGATATGCGCGACACTCAACACAGTTACAATAACACTAAAAACAAAAACAAGAACAAAAACAAAATACAACAACTTCATATAATGGCCACAAGCGGCAACAAATAGCCGCAGCGCCAGAAGACTTGGAAGACTTGGCCATAAGGAAAGTGCGGCTGATGGTTGATGGGTGTACTTGAAGAAATAGAGAACCAACCGACAGAACCAACAATGACCAACCGAGCTAAAATATGTACTCCAACACAAAACGGATCAAACAATTCACGAATGAGGCATAACAACAATGAGTAGTATATGGGTGGACGTGTAATTGTATGTGTGTGTGTATGTCTGTAAGGCTCGATTCTAAGCAGCTCTACTCCAATGTCGAGCCACGCAAACATATAATTATGTTCACATACAACTATATACATATGTATAAATAATATGTATATAAGTACACCGTAAGTACGGTGGTACCTCGTACAACTTTAGTTTGGCGTTGTGTCCCCACACGAACATCAAGTAGCCTTTATTATTTATTTATGGAAATATGTTTATATGTATGCGCATTAGACTGGTTTAAAAAGTACTTGTGTTCCAAGTGAAATCTCTGTAAGTGAAGAGAGTTTGAAATTTCTGTTTCGTGACTTCAAATTAAAGACTTCGGCAAACTGCAAAGAATTGAATTGTTGGCAATGTTTAAGTCCTTGACCATGTTTCACAACGTCGATTTGTCCAGAATACTGCTAACTTCAGTCCTGAAACTAGTTTATAAATTTTATTCCGAAATGCAGAAAGTCCTTTTGTCTTTCCGGCAGAACTTTTCACAAAATATGTGCATATGTGTATGTGCGGTGAGCCTTCATGTCCTTAACTCCTAAATTGTGAATTATTTGAACCAAAACCACATACATACACACATACATGAAGCATAATTTACGGCCAAAAGGAGAGACAGACGTGACTACACAGATCAACTCCGCTTATCATAGAGAATCTATCTCATTTTTACTCGGCATTTACAATCGTCGGACTAAATGTTTATTTCTGGTTTACGAAAGGTAAGAAGTGCCCTTTCACTTTATTCTCGACCAGCTTAATGTACACATACATACACGTATATGCATGCTTACGTTTGTGCGGCGTATGTATATGTGGCGATGTTTATGCTTATTGAGCGCTCGAGCGAGCGAAATCGAAACATTTCCACTTTTTCAGAGTGTCATTCCGTGTTAGCCGCGACACATACCATGACGCGCCGAGTCGAGCGCCTCTCGAGGAGAACACAATGGCACTAAACTGTCGCGTTGCCATTGAGCAAATAAAGTGAAATATTCCAAGACATATTTGTAAGTACATACATACATACGTGTATGTGTGCGCGCCTGATGCAGTAGAGGCTTCGCAGAAGTCACATCCTTCCACGCTTCGTTGTGCTTGTTTACACTGGCACTTCTGCCACTTTGTGGGCTCGGAGCGCAGAGCTGAGTACCAGGTTATTTTATGGACATGTTTACTCAATGACAAGGGTCTGCGTGAAAAGCACTTGACAGTTGTGTTGCGAATTAAAATCAGGTACTCATACCAACCCTCACTTTCTTGGATGTGTATGTATGAGTGTGCGCATATATGAATGCGGTCTTCAGCCGAGTAGTATTTGACCAAATGTCTTTGTTCTTAGTAGATTTCATTCTTAATATTCGTGTCATTTGAATTCCTTTTCCAATTCAACGCTTGACATTTATTCTTTTCTCTCCTCTTTCAGGCTCTTTCATCAGCAGCGGAGCCGTGGACTGCTGCGCGTGTGAGCTTCAAGGTATCCACGATTCGCCATGAAGAACCTTTGCACTTCGGTGTATACGATTAACAACTACACGATCATTCTACGTAAGAAGTCCTCTAGTCTCGTCCAACACAAATACGCCTGTCCGCGCAAAACGGCGACTTAATGAATATTAATCAGGAAAAGTGCAGTAACGGATTCCAGCAGCGACATCCAGCACAGCAATATCCGCAAGCACAACTCTACCCAATTCCTCTACCGCCCACACTACAACAATCAGCAACTGTTGCTGCCGCTGCCGCAATCGCCACTGGTACACATTCTTTGACGACCGCCAGTTCGCAACTGCAAGACCTCGAGCTTGAATATCTGAAAAAGGCGCATGCGCACGCTCAGGCGCACGCGCAAGCTCAGGCCGCGGCACTTGTTTACAGCTACGAACGTCAGCATCTGCAGCAGCAGCAACACCAACAACAACAGCTAAAACAGCAGCAAGCTGTAGCGCGGCGTTCAAGTGCAGATCACGAATTCTCCAGTAAACGAAACGCCCATCATCAGCAGCAGCAGCATAATTTAGCAACGACGAGCTCAGCTTCCATGGTTATGTCACCGAGTCGGCGTCCGTCGCCGCCACGTGCTGCTTCGCATCCCATGAATATGCATCTGAGCTCTCTGGCGCATGCACAGATGCAGCTTCAATCTCAGTTACATCAAAAATTTTCCGCGGCGGCTGCGGCCGGCAGCAATTTGCCGCCGCCGCCAAATCATTTGAGCAATTATTTTCGTAATCAGGCATCACCAGCTTGTGGCCTGCCACCACCGCCGCCGCCCCCTCCTACATCCAGCGCCAATACAGCGAATACTCAACAGCAGCAACAACAACCACATTCACCGGCGAGCAGCGTCAGCTTAAGTACTTCCGGTGGCAGTATGCAGCAGGCAGTGGGTTCGGGCTCAACTCACAATCAGCATAACCCACTAAGCCATTTACAGAGCATGCAACCTTTCGACTTTCGCAAGATTAACTCCTCCGCATTCGGCGCCTTACCACCGCTGCCACCAGCGCGCATGAGTCCAAACGAACTGGCACATCATCAACATTTGCAACAGCAGGCAGCTCAACAAGCGGCTATGCTGGCCCAAGCACGCCGTCGCATTAATGAGGCTACAACGCCATCAGAGAAGAATGCGGCGGTCGCTGCGGCTGCGGCTGCTGCAGCCCAAAGTAATCAATTCTTCAATGCGATGGCAATGTCGGGCCATCCACTGCCCTTCCCACTACCGCCGCCTCCGCCACCACCACCGACGCACGGTCCACCAGGCACCTCGCCTTCGTGCGTACCAACGGCTGCCAGTCTACCACCGGGTTTAACGAGTAATCAAGTGGCGGCAATAGCCGCTGCGGCTGCTGCTTCTGGAAATCCAATGCCCCACAGTCTGCTCGCGTCACACTTCCCTACCATGAATTCTACATTTAACCTAGGTAAACCCCAAACAGCGCGTACTAATTCCCCAGAAGGGGACGAGTCCAAACATGCCTTAAATCAGGCAGACAGTAATAATATAACTCACTTGCGTGATGGCGCAAGTGTTTCCCATTCGCAGCACCAACCTTCACATCGTCATCACCATCATCGGCCTGTGTCGCCACCCACTTCCTTGGGCACAACCACCGCCATCTCTAATTCATACCAAAGTCAGCATCACGAATCTCGTCAATCGCGTTCAACTCACATCGAACATCCGTCTTCGCATTCCTCGCAGCGACTGACGAGATTTTCCACTGGTGCAAGTTTACGTCCCGGGCGTAAATCTCATTCGCCGGGTAAACGTCAATGGGGCACTTTGCCGGCTAACCTGGGCACACAATTTATAAATCCGGTAACTGGAAAGAAGCGCGTTCAATGTAACGTCTGTTTGAAGACCTTCTGTGACAAAGGTGCGCTGAAGATCCACTTCTCAGCCGTTCACTTGCGAGAAATGCACAAGTGCACTGTGGATGGCTGCAGTATGATGTTCAGTTCTCGTCGTTCTAGGAATCGACACAGCGCAAACCCCAATCCTAAGCTACATTCTCCACACCTAAGACGCAAGATATCGCCTCACGACGGACGCACAGCCCAACCGCATCCGTTGCTTTTGCAGCCACCGAACGGTTTAATGGCGGGTCTCAATCCATTCGGCAGTTTTCCACTACTCACTCCACCGCCCGACATGAGGCATCATCAAATGGCTAGCATGCATGACATGAAGCACAACTCAGCTGAGTTTATGCACCGCTCGTATATGGACAGCACAATGTTGGGACGCTACGAGACTCGTTCACGTCACCGGCAAGACAGTGAGGGTCATCTGGAGGATGATGAAGATGACAGCATATTGGATGGTGGCATTCATATTGGAGATGATGACGACGATGAAGATGATGATGACGACGGCGAAGGCATAGTGGTGGTGGGCGATGAAGGCGACAGTATTTTAGAGAAAACAAACTCAGAGGATTACAACACGGATGGTGGCGGGGACGAAGCTTCCGATCTAGGTGACAACAGTAATGATATGGATCTCACCACATCGACATCGACACCGACAACGACTGACTACAAGCATACCAAAGAATCAACTTCCCATAAGACGGAGAGAATGGACACGTCCACGGCCACGGCCACAGGTGTGGATTTGAGTGTGACTGACCAACAAAGCTGCGAGAGTAATGACGATTCACTGAGTGTTACTGATTCGTACAGCATGCGTGGTGACTTCGAAAATTATGCTTTTGCGGGTGTGGGCAGTGGAGGTAGCAGCAGTACTGCCAACACACCAGGCTCTTCATCAAATAAACGTAAACGAAAAAGTCAGAACCCAGTGCGTTGCACTGTGCAGTCTGATGAAAATTCCTGTGATAACTCCACTCAATACGATGTAGCTGCCGACTTGTCGCTGAAGAAATCACTTCCAGAAACCGCACCCGAACTCCCCGAAACGAAAAGTGATGGTTTCCAAGATAATGCATCTTTAGATTTAAGCAAACGAACACGAAAGTCTCAGAGTCCAGAATCAACCGCGCCCAACCAGAACTCGAACGCAACTGAGAGCACAAAAGTGCTTCCATCACCACCGCTGACGCCCTCGACGTCCATCAGTGAACCAGCAACTTCAGCGCGCCCCCAACTAATGGCCGGTAGTCAACTTAAATCAGAACCAGTCGACGAGGATTATGAACAACAGTTAGATCTTCAAAACGGATCTGATATAAACCAAACTCTGGAGCAAGAACACTCGTTGGATCTCTCGGCCACGAATATGAGAAAGGAGGCGCCACTTTCGAATACCAAACCAACAGTTGATAACGACGAGTCATTGGCCTCTATAAAACAGGAGCGCATCGAGGAAGAGCAGCCACTTACAATAACGGCAAATACGAATTCAAACGGAAATGAAAATAGTTTGTTGAGTATAAAGAGCGAGCCGCTAGAAGACGACTGCAAATTAAACATATCAACTACAGAGCAGGAATGCCAAATGAAAAATATCAACAACAACAATAACAATCCTAAGTCAAGTATAGAACCACAGTCCGGAGAGAAATTCGAACAGCCCACCCTCCCGATCGACGCCTTACAACACCAGATCAATGAAGAAGCCAACGGGGATCTCTTGACCGAAGAAGCCGAAGTACCCATCGACAAAGATAATCCACTCAAGTGTACAGCTTGCGGTGAAGTATTCCAGAATCACTTCCATTTGAAAACCCACTACCAAAGCATACATTTGAAGCTGCACCACAAATGCAACATCGACGGCTGTAACGCGGCCTTCCCCTCGAAACGCAGCCGAGACCGCCACAGTTCGAACTTGAACTTGCATCGAAAATTGCTTTCCACAGGCGACAATCACCATCACGAATCTTTATCCGATCATATCGCTACGAACAATAACAAAGCCTTTGGCGGCGTAGCCAACTGTGGTGTACCGAACACAATTCAAGCTGAATTCTTGGCTCGGCTATATGCTGGTTCACACGGCTTACCGCCGTTAAACTTCGATGCACTCAAGCATCATTTGCCGACGGCCATCCCACATGCGCCAAACTTCCCGGATACATCTTTCATGCCAGATCCGCGACTCCTGCTCGGCCATCCTAACAATCCATTGCTCTTCCCCGGCCTAACTGGTCTTCCAGGCTTCCCACACTTGGCACCTCATCTACTAGCTGCGCCTTTTAACGGCCTCAACCCGTTCTGCAGGCGACCTTCCTCCGAGTCACATTCACCACACTCCACACCACCACCCGCAAATGCGCCCCGTTCACCGCAATGCTCCCCGCAAAGTGGCGGACAACAACCAACCAAAACCATGTCCGAACGATCATACCAAAGTTCGCCGACGGACTGCGATTTCAATGCCCCATCACCGACGTCAGCAGCGGATAAGGACGCGGGGAAGGCTCATATGAAACAATTAAGCGCAGCCGGGACAGCGCATCACATACACCAACCACCGGCGCACCGACAGACGCCCGATAGGATCTCATGACCGTATGCAACACGCTTTGCGGAGATGATGTCATACCGACAGTGATCGGCCGTGATTGGTCCCTAGGCCGGGTTGCCCAGTGGGTCCTGAGTACAACAAAGAGCGGGAGAAGTGCTGGTGCTCAAGACGAATGAAATGCACATGTGACATGTGAACACAATAAATCAGCTCGCAGCTCATTAATTTATGACACAAACATACATATACACATACATACTGGTATATATATATGAGCAAATAAATTTTAATTTTAATTTAGCAAAAAGTAAGTGATGAATTGTAGTTTTAGAACACGGCAGAGTTGTATACATACATACCCATACATACATATTACAGTTACATTATGTAGTCGGAAACACTTGGGTGAACGCACACACACTACCAAGTGGTGTTATATCTATGGAAATTAACTGTTTAATACTTTAGAGCTAAAAATTTAAATTCGATAATAATAAAAAATGATGAAAACAGCAAAAAAGTATGAAAATCGAGTAAAACTTTCTTCTACTTTTTTTTTTCAACAACGAGTAGCAAATCAATACAAAAACAAAAATCTGGTTCTAAAATGTACAAATATTTACGTTTGAATGTAGGTGTATGAAAGGCAGCTAATGGCGATTCTTATCGAAACTTCCGCTAGGTTTATCGATCAAAATTTATTTAAAATACATTTTTGTATATCAAAAACAGATTTTGTTGTTTTTTGAACTTAAGAGCTGCAGTTGATATGAAACCTAAAATCTTTTTATAACTGTAGTGATGTGGGGAAAGGTTTAGAAAAGCCGTCGGCGAAAGATATTCATAGTGAAAAATGCCTAGTCTCATTTATCTATCATCACAAAACTGCCGAACTTGTATCAATGCAAAGGAAAAGTTAAAAATATCAGAGTCCGAAAATTAGATTTCTGAGTTTAAAAATCAAAGCCCAAAGAGCCTCGAGGAAGAATGGTAATAACTCTCATTTTTACTCTCTCTTTTTACCTTCATTATTCAAAATAATAACCCTTACGGTTTCAGGGAAATTGCAAAAATTGTGTAGTCTTGTGAAAAGTTTTATTTATTCGTTTTTTAAATCCCAATTGCTTGAAAAAAATTCTAAATTTTATTATGTACATAATATTTGGATTTGGGTTTAGTATTTTTTATATTAAGGCATAATTATTGAAAAATAATAATTCGAAAAGTATAGTAACTACTCAAAAGCATGCATCATATTTGAAAAGTTGTCAGCAAACGACTATCACACTACATTTACTCGTACATTACTAATGAGACTGATGCCATAAAAACCGTAAATTCAAAATTATTTTACAACTCTGTCATCCCCTTCGAAGTAGTCCCCTTGGGCAGCTAAACAACGATTCCAGCGCGTTTTCCAAGCTACGTAACATTTCTGGTACGCTTCGACTGGGATGTTCGCTATAATAATAAATGCTCCCCTTTTATCAATGGAGAGAAGAAGGATGCCGGGAGAAGGTAAAGGGATTTTCAAGGTCACAGGGTTAACACAATCGCGGCAAAATAATCAGTCTCATTACTTTATTGTCGCACCTCGTAAACACATAATTTGGTGATTTGTGACCGATGGAGTGACCTGCAGTTTGTACTAATCCGCCTGCGAAAGGCTTTTATTTCGAAAAAAAATATATATAATTAAAAACGAGATTTTTTAATTTAAATCAATTTTCTATAATTTTTGGATGTTGGTCGAACCATGACTCGAACGCTAACCTACCGAAAGGTTAATTGCTCGCTCTAGTCACTGAAGGGCTTTGGAACTTTGGATATCGAAACTTTGAAAAATGTAGCGCCAAACATTTAAGAAAAGCTCAGTTGGCAGGGTTTAAAAAATACTGCCTGGGGTTACCACTTTTTAATTGCAATAAATTTTGATAAGACAACGAAACAAGAAAGCGCATTAACAGTCACATATACACAAACACACATACGTAAATTCACTCGCAATATTTTATTTTTATTTTACGAACCAGAAATTATTTGCAATATTTACTCATAAGAATGTGAAGCAGCTTTGTTAATTTATTTAAAAAATGTACACATGCATACAGTTATGTACGAATAAATAAAATAAAACAAAATTTAACGAATAAAACTAAATAAAATAAGCATAAATACGTAAATATATGTATGTATAACGTTGTTTATGAAAAATTTTGTCTGTATTTATTTTTTTTTTTTAACACAAAATTGAGTTATTTCATGATAACGCTTAGCTCTAGTTACAAATTATGTTATGTAATCAATAGTTTAAGTGTAATATACTGATAATTAGAAAATATTAAATTTTATGAAATAAAAACCTTAATGAAATAACTAAAAACAACTGCGATTTTTTTGTTGTGTTTGGAATTTTCAGCGATATCTGGCGAAATCATAATCAGCAAATATACACTCATACAAGTATAGATAGCTCAAGGACCCGCAAAATTTGTCATTTGAACCTTTGTTTTCACTGCGTTTAAAAACTCTCTTGTTTTAGGACAATACGGAGCAATTAAGGGTCTAATGAGATTTAGCTACACATTTTCATGTTACTCAAAACCAAATATTGGCACACGAGTACAGTGTCGCGTAAAACAAATGCAACAAATTCAGGCCGGACTAACTTATTCCTAAACATATTTTGACAAAAGTGAGCTGTCTTCAGAGTTTTGACTTCTTGGTACTCTAAGTAAAGCACTATTAATTTAAGCCCACCTTGGAAATGTTAAAGAGAAAGTATGCAAAATATTTTACCGTAGATGTATTTCTCTATGAAGGCTCAACTTCTTCTTCTTCTTTATAGGCGTAAACACCGCTCACGCATATATACCCGAGTTAACAACAGCCCTCTATTTAGTCAGTTTTATCACTCTCGAGCTGAGAGTCAGGTCCTTCTTCACCTGGTCTTTCCAACGGAATGGAAGCATTTCTCCTCCTCTCCCTCCACCGGCGGGTACTGCATTGAAAACTTTCAAAGCTGACTCAGCCAACGTGGCGGCTGTCTCATGATTCGCTGAACTAAATCAGCGTATATCTCGTACAGCTAATCGTTCCAACAAGTGCAGTATTCGCTGTTCCCTACATCGATTCAGAAGATGTTGTCATCGTACATGCCCCCGCACCATATAGTAGGACGGGGATGATGAGTAGCTTGTAGATTTTGCTTGTAGGTAGATGGAATTTTATACAACTTCAAAGTTATGACTTGAGAGCCCAATCGTGAACGCGATGACTTTTTATTTGATGATAAGAAAATTGTAGCTTCCCTATTAAAGCAGATAAATGATAATGAGTTTCCTTGTCTAAAACCCCGTTTTGTGTCGAACGGCTCGCTGAGGTCCTTTCCGATCCTGACGGAGCTTATGGTCTTGCTTAACATCGGTTAACACAGCCGTAAAAGTTTTTTGAAGGTAATAAATTGAGCTATATTGGCGAAGAGGCAGCTCCTCCTTCTCTAGTTGTTTTTCCAACGGCTCATGGGTTGTTTCGAGCAGCTGCTACTTCATGTCAGAAATACACTCCGAGGGTATGACAAAATCGTTCATTGGCTGGAATGTTTTGACCTCCGAGTGCACTGATGTGGAGTAAAAACTCGCACAAACAGTAAACTTCTTACTACGGTTCCCTCAGTTAACTTAACGCCGAATATTGTGATGCAAAGTCTCTTACCACACAGAGGTATAGCTCCTTAATGAAGAACTTGCTATTGTATTCCTAATGCTAGTATCCAATAAATTTTGCGTACCTGATTTATGAAGCATTTGCTTTGATCTGCAATGACGATCCAGTAAAACTGTGAGGCATAAATTCGCAGCGCCCACTTATTCCGTACAACCGAAGAAGTAGTGGATCTAATATTCCATTTCACCCAGATTTAGCCTTTCCTTATTTGTTTCACGTCTCTACCCCACACAGGCACGTTGAAGGGGTCTGATCTATTCGAAAATAACGAAGAAAATGGACCGATTTACTTGAAAAAGCATATATATTAGGTAAAGAGTTCGTTCGGTTTTTAATTGATTTTTCAAAATATGATAACTTTGTATACGTTTGTCCGATTTAAGTCAAATGTGCGCCGTTTTGTTCGTAAACTTGTTGCCAACGAGATGCCAATTTCATTATACCCCTCTGTTAGAAGGCCTTTCTTGAGGCCAACTTTTCACCACTAAGCGCGCTCGCCATGGACATGAAAAGATGGCAATCACTTGGTGCCAGGTCCGGACTATAAATTGGGTACATTAAGACCTCCTATCCGAGCTCTTGGAGCTTCTGGCGCGTCACAACAGACGTATGTGGCCTGGCGTTGTCCTGATGGAACTCAATTCGTCTTCTGTTGATCAAAGATGGCCTCTTCTGGATGAGTTCTGCCTTCAAGCGGTCCATTTGTTGGCTGTAGACGGCCTAAATGAGCATCTCGTAGTAGATGATTCCTTGCCAACCCCACCAAGCACACAGAAAAACCTTCCTGGCCTTCAATCCGGTCTTGGCTACCATCTGCGCAGCTTCCCCGAATTTTGACCACGACCGTTTTCGCTCGATGTTGTCGCAAGTGACCCATTTTTTATCGCCAGTCACAATCCGCTTTAGAAACGGATCGATTTTGTTGCAATTCAGCAGCGATTCGCAGATGGAAATTAGGTCCATCGGGTTTTTTTTGCGTTAGTTCAAGCTTCTTTTTGAATCCAAGATTAATCAAACGATTTTCCGGCTTTCTTAACTTCTTTAGCAATTAAATAAGTGCTGACGAGACGGTCTGTTTCTCTTTATTTCCATGATTTCATCGCAGCTTTCGACGACAAACCTCCCGACGCGCGGTGCATCATCTATGACATCGAAATTACCCGAACGGAACCTGACAAACCACTTTTGTGCTTCACGTTCCTCTACAGTATCGTGCTCATAAAATAAATTTATTTTTTCAGCCGCTTTGGCTGCTTTTTCGCCTTGATCGAAGAAGAATTGTAAAATATATCGATTTTTCTCTTTGCTTGTGTCCATATTTGACGTGCGCTCGCAACGTACTGAGTCAATCAATCCAAAAACTGTCAGCGCCGTATAGTATGGCATGATTCGCCACGTAACACTAGTACTATGGACAATAACGCCATCTCTTAGATAAGAACCGAACGAACCTTTTACTTGACCTAATATTAAAGGCTCGAATTGGTAGAATTGTTGGATGGTATGGCTAAATGAAATACTTCTGCTTCCCGGAAATGGTCCGGGGACCACGAACCATTCCATTCCATTTACCCGAAGCTTAAATAATATTTTCTTACGGGAAAGGGATCACCGACAGATTGACGAAAAAGGAATATGTTCGCTGCACCAAGTTCTTTCCCTGCGGCCACGGTTCACACGCTAGTTATTGTTATGGATGTGATTAACTTAATTGTAAATATTTAGTTAAATAATTTTTAAATAAGGCGTTGAAATATCCTTTGCAATATGAAGTGGAAAACAGAAACTCTCTCGAAGCTCCATTACATGTGCTTCCATTAGCAA